TTGTTTACCATGCGGGAGGTCCCGGGTTCGATCTTCGGTGGAGGTGTTTTTATGCATTTTGTTGTTGTTTAGGTTGAGATGGTTTGTGGTTCTGCTACGGCCGCCGTGGAGGTCAGTCGTGGACCATTCTGCGGGAAGGCTGATGCTACTGTAAGAGGTTTTTCCGCATAATCGCTCAGTGCGCGAAGAAATCCGTTTTCGGAATTATTTCCCCAGTACAACATCGCCCATATCGGATCATTAGTTTGGAAGCCTTCAGGTTGTTGTTCAAGAGAAGGTCTGCCGCTCCTGTGAGAGGGTCACTGTGAAGGGTTCTCTTACTCCAATGCAGCTCGGTCGGGCTTCCATCGTTGGAGCCGGTATCGAGCTGGAGGCATTAGCTCCTGGACAGGGCATGAACCAGTACTCATGTAGCCATGTTATGGCTCCACCTCAATACACTGCTATGGGCACTCTAGTTATGCAATGTGCTTGCCAGGAAAAGGTACGGAAAAATGATGATGATGTTGTTGCTTCGCTCCGCTAGGAAATATTACAGGTTCTTGAAATCGAATGTCGAGAGGAGGAATCGGCGTTGCAAATAGCTACTTGGGGTAAAGCGGTGATATCAGAACTAGCTGTGTCGAAGGACATACTCAAATCATGCTCATCGGTCCGCATTGATAATATTAAAAACTCCTTCACATTGAGGAAGGCATCATACCAACCAACATCGATAGCCCAGACTCACCCCGACGTAGTTTCATCGGTGCTTCAACGGACTGAGCATAAGAGATGGTTAACGGTAATAACGGATGGGGAGGCTAAGTGAAATATTTTTAAATTTTGTAAGAATAGTATGTGGGAAAATGTTAAATTGAACTACAATTTCACATTTTTATAACGTGTATTAGTGGTGGAGGTTTTGGAATATTCTTTACAGCGTTTTTGTATTTTTTCCCGATATTTTGATGTTTTCCCCTCTGGCGTTGAAATGAGCTTTTTTTGTGCGATGCAGGGCAATTTCGCAAAATTCGAAAATTCGAAAATTCGAAAATTTTTCGTCAAAATTTCCGCAAAATTTGTTTTT